TCAGAGTTGTTGATCTGATGAGGATACCAAATGATCGATCCATATTCTGACTTGGAACGTGCATTCGCATAGTACATGCAAAGAAGTGCATTATTTGAATTGAATTCTTTACAATTTCTCAGAATCATTCCTAAAGATTTATGTGCTCTATTACAAATATCAGCTATATGATCAGTAAAAAAACAAACCAGAATCAAATTAAACTCCTAAGTCTGATATTTTATTGCATCTATCAATGCAGGTGTTAGAGATTTTATATTCATAATGTATTGGAACGTGCTTATGTAAAAAACTAAGAATCATACACTTTGAGATATTTAAATGTAGTTTGTTATAGATACACCAAGAGTGGAAAGAGTCGAGTTGAGATTGCATAAGCATTCATCAATAGAATTTATTTTGAGATATAATTTGAGATCATCTGCAAACAATAAATGTGGACAGCTAATAATTTCAGATATGTCATTAATAAAAATAATAAATAGTAGTGGACCAAGAATATATGTTCAATTATTTGTAAAAAAGATTGACGTTACTTTTTTACTACATTTTCTGAAGTACGAACATTGCATGATTATAGCAAAGCAAAATAATGGCAGAAAAACTATGAATTTACTCTAATCATACTACTTTATATCATTAACCAGGGCATCATAATAATAATTTTCAATTAAATCAATTCAAGCCCACGTTTACTGTATAATGTAATCGAATAAATATAGTACTATTTTAATAATATTATTATATCTTTATAATAAGCATAGGATTTATTTATGAAGTGAATACATTTGTAGAGATTTAGGAGATGAATTTTTTCTTAACAAATCTGTGTTACCACAAATGATTAAAATGAAGTTTTTGTGACGTTCTATATTTTTGAATAGTTGTGGTGACACTTGTTAACAACATGGCATTTCAGAAAAAAAAACAATTGATTCTGATGCAGCAATGGAAATGAAAAAGAAAACCATTTTCATTTTTATTTTCATGTGCAAACCGATATAACTACTGCTTGACATTAGGCTGTCCGAGCGGACATTAAATTTGATGCTGTAGGACCTTAGGTTGAAAAGCCAAAGCTATTGCCAGTATCGCCACAGAGCCACTGACAGAATAAAAAAGCTATATGGCTTTCCAATATTTTGGTTTCGTATCCGAAATATTGTCAAACGAAAACAATGCAGTATGCTGAAATAATTCCACATTTTAATAACCTAGCTTTGTGCGTGTTTCGATAAAAATTGGTTTTATTCAGGGCTAATTTGTACGCGACCTTTAACGTACGATATTGAACTTGAATTATTTAGATTCACTATATCAAAATAAATCAATGCATATTTATATATTAGATAGTAGAGTCTTGGATTTATTATACAAATATTTTGTAGAGCTTCGAACAAAGAACCGAAAAAGTAATAAAAAAACAAAAAAAAGTTTTTTTAAAAAAACATTTCTTCATTTATATACAGTCGACGTTTCGGAAAGATGGAACGTGCCTAATTTCGAAAAGTCGACAGTAAATAAATAAAGTAAATAATAAATAAATATATATATATATATATATACATAAATATATATATATATATATATATACGATCGTATATATATATATATATATATACATATATATATATATATATATATATATATATATATATATATATATATATATATATGTTTGCTTGATATAATATAATTTAATTGATAATTTAGAATGGATTTGCTTGACGTTTTATAACATTTTATAAGTTGCAATATATCCTTCTACTAAAATAATTAAACATCCTATTATTAAATTAATAATTAGTTATAATATATTTCACGGTGATTAATTTGAGTGATTTGTTATATATTCATACAATATCATACAACAAGTTATTGACAAAACTTTGTAAGTTATAGGTCTAAATAACTCATAGAATGAATATAAGATTATTATTTATACATATATAAATATAATGTTACATGAGACAAAATTATTTGAAAATTTCAATCGAAAATAATATTATTAATTACCAATTGTTCTAATTTTAGGCTTATAGGATGTTTGTTTCACTTGAACTTCTCTAAATCGAGTAGCAGATTGTGTGAGATCGCAAATCTACTATCGACAAAATAATAATTATATTTTATACGTTTATGTATTAATTTGAAAATGTTTATAACTCTCGCATGATTTATTGATTTTTACATTTCACTATTGATCAAGAATTTACAATTGCCAGTAAATTAAAAACTAAATTTGTGCAAAGTTTTTAGTTACTTCGAATTTTTTATTTAACACAGTACGAAATTGTGTGCTCACTTTGAAGTTTTTTCACTTTTTCATAAACAGCAGAATCATATTATTTTGTATAATTATGTGAAATTATTCTTTTGTGCATAGATATGAGGCAAGAGCCTCTACTCGTCGTTTCTGATATAATATTTGCCTTGACCGAGACATAGAATTGGCCGTGGTTATACTTATAGTATGTATGAACCCAGGATAGATGTATAAGGCTGATCTCACATTTAACGGTTTTTTATCTTTAATTACAAAAAAATTTGAAACGGCAACAAGTTATACCCTCACGTATTGTTAATATACAATATACAAGAACTTTATTTTGCAACATTAATTTGTGCGTATCTCTAAAAATATCAATATCTTTATTTTTATTGTTACTATAAATATTCTGTCAATTGGAGCTAATCGATCTAAATTTTCATTATATAAAGTAAAACGTATTTGCAGTAGGTGGTGTTAACCTTTACCGGACGCAAGCTTTTTATACGTGATCCTCACAAAGTCGCTGGTCTTCTGCGAAATGTTGTTTAATCAAAAAAAAAAAATTGAATTTTCTTATATTATACTTATTTTTATAACTTCTTTCGAAATTTTCATTGTTATCATCGCCATCGATAATTTTATTATTTTCTTTTGTTTTTTTTTTAATTCCGACAGCTCCAAAGTATAGTTATCACGTTACAGGTGACTTTCGGCCGATAAGGGTTAATATAGATATCAAATGAGCACGCCATTGAATTACCAATAATTCTATAGAATTATGGAAATCGTCTACAAAGGACATGGAAAAGAAAGAAGGTGAAAACTTGCCTAAACTGTTTCATTCAACTTTTTCACATTATCCAGTTATTGATGGGCTGTTGATGTTTTATGAAAATTCACGTGTATATGCCATAAGCCGTGACTGCCGTGAATGGGGCCATCCGCCAGGTTATGTAATAGTTTTATTTCTACTTTGTTTCCAACAAATCCACTCTTTTGGTTCCTGGCAGCGCAAACGCGCACGCCGGGACGCTCTGTTACATTTTGGTATAGAGACTTTCGCCAGTGGCGTACTAAACAGAACGGATAAACTTACAATTATTTAATCCGAATTAATATTAACGATATTGGACTATTTTGATAGGCATTGCCTGATAATATTCTACGTTATATTTTATTTTTTTGAACATAAACAATTTCTTTTATTATCTTTTAGGGATAGATAAACAAGTATAAATAGATCGCAAACGCGTCCAATTTGATATTACCTCAACTTTGTTTCACGTAAATCTACCCTTAAATTTAATTCTGAATAATTTTATATAAATATATAATATAGAAAAGATTGATTAAAATAAAACTTTTAATAAAGACATATCCATATAAAATATATTTTCACTCTCACAAATGTTTTCACAAATGTTTTTACTTAATGTCTATGTAGGACAGTCGTAAATATATCGTCGAACAAAAAAAAAAATGTTTTCACAAAAAAATATTAAATGTTCAAACTACGTGTAGTATAAAAAAAGAATAAGTACTTTAAAATGAGTGATAAATTTGCGCACGGTAGTTCCTCTATGGAATGCGAAAAATACTAAAACAGGGTAGAGCGCATTTACTCTATATTAACCCCCCCCCCATGCTTTTAGGTTTCTTTAAAAAGAATTAAGTTCGTTAAAATTTAAATGTTATGAAGTTGAAAGATAATAAATAATTTTATAAATAAGATGGCATTTTCTAATGAATTAGTTTAGATTAACATTAATTATTAAGTTTTTCATTTTAATGATCATGATATTTTAAAACACTAGCCGAAAGATTTTTACAGAGAAAGTTACATATCACATAATATCAATAGAAATTTGAAATATTATAAGAAATGAAAAAAAAAAAAAAAATTATATACGTAAAATTTAAACGAATGCACACAAATATACTAGAATAAATATTTTAAATACCTATAGCAGCTAATAGGAAACTAAAATTTAAAATTTCACATTTACTTTTTGACTAACTTATAGAAGAAATAAGGGTCCAAAATATTAATTTTTAATTTTTTTTCTGTCTCACGTATTCTTTTTTAGCTAATCGTTTATATTTATTATTTACGATTTTACATGTGCGTACAGGAACGAAACGTATATTTTTCACATTTTAGCGATGAATTTTCTCTATAACTTGCAATCCAAAAATTCGCAAATTATATATACTATTCAAAATATTTTTTTAAAAAGATTGTGTTTTTAAAACAATTAAATGAGACTTTATACAAATCTTTAAATATATTAATGTTAATGAAATGAAAATGGCAATAAAAGTTCAATCATGGAAATATACAAGAAGATGCTTCAAAATGAAAACTGTATAAAACTCAAATATCAAAATGCTGTTAATAAACAATTAACCCAAAATCTGCAACGCAATCCGAACCACGATTTATCAAAACTAACAGAAATACTAAAATTCAATTTGATATTTAAGTAAATATTAAATTGGCGATGTACACGTGAACTCTAGTGTTAAGAAAATCTGGTACTATTTTGAATTTTGTTCTTTTGGATCAACGCCATTGTCGGTGCGATTAATTGTGGAACAAGTCGTCGAGCGGGGCAAGGGAGGGTGCTCCAAGGGGTTCCAACAGACAAAACTCTATCGTCCGACTAGCACCGCGAGTTGGGGTGGGGGGCACTAGTTGGTGGGGACTACGTGAATATGAACAGGACTACGGCAAGCAGCCGTTGAGTGTGCGTTCAAAAGTCATTCAGTTGTGACCGGTCGAACGGTGAACATTTCAGTGTTATTTTCCTGTTACGCCAATTTCTAAGGTAGGTCTGTTCATGTGTATTAAGCCAAAGATTTCGTTTATTATTGTTCGCGTCTAGGGTGTGTGATTCATTAATTATTAATTTTTACCGTCCGGCTTCTTCTGTGTTGACTAGTGAGAATATCACACGTCTAGTTTTTCGTGTTTCATGTGAACCTAAGCAATTCAGATGTTGTTGTGGTTAAACAGTGATTGTTTCAAACTCTAAAGAAAGCTAAAATTATCGATATTACATTTATTTGTGTTAACGTTATGTCAGTTAATATTACAAAACAGCAATTAGTGCATATACAATATTTTAAATACTGCTCTGTTGACTCGTGGTTCAATTTTGTATTAGATCTTGTTGTTCTTATGCCGGCAGTTAATTTTTAAATAGGCCTTAATTCGACACATTTGGAGTGATGGCAATGCTGGTGCCCGGAGATTCCATTACGTAATACTGAAGTAAAATCATAATCATTCGAGTTGAATTATAATTCCTAATTTTATTGACATTGCCAAGAAACGAAACTCATTTCTGATTATTAGAATATTTATTTACTTGCAATTAGTACTACTTTCCAATATTGTTAAATGACTTGTCATATATATATGTATATATATATATATATATAATGTATGTATGTATGTGTTATTGTTTCATAAATATCTATAAAATTCCTTCTCATGTTTTCTTCAAATATCAAATGATAAGTTTATCTTCATAAAACGATATTTGTTTGACGTCAAAACAAATTTTGTATATATTATGCGGCTGCATGCATTGTTGGGACACATTGTTAGTCTAACTTTAGTTAACGTCAATTGCGTTTGTTTCATTGATGTTGATTGGCGTCGATTAGAGAACATCTCGGACGAGCAATGCTAATGGTTTGTTGGTCGTAAAAGAAGAACGTTGCATTCCCGCTCAAAATTGAATCAGCTCATAAAATCTTGAAATCAATTATCAAGCAAATTGACACAACTGTTTTCGATAAATTTATTGCCCGAAAGAGACGAACATGAGACCATATCATCTAAGATAATTATTAAATGCGTGCATAAAATTATATTTAAACATGATCTTAAATCTCTTACGTAACTACTAATATCAAATGATGATTTTACTTTGCATCATGAACTATTCTCGTGAATGTGTTTTAGTCACATCTGAACACAATTTTTCAGAGTGAAAACTTGAATTGGCGGTCAAAATCTTGTCCTGAATAAATTTATCAATTAAATTGTGAATTTGGAATCGATTTCGCTTGGGAAGCTACGATATTGCGCAGTTACCTCTAAGTTACATAACACGTCGCCAATGTCGATTTTTCGGTAGCCATGTTTAGTTCAGTCAGCTGATGTTTGATCCCAAAATAATCCAAAGCCAAAATAAATTAATTTTCACAAACAAAAGCTCGATGTTCAAAAATTATTTTACTAATTTTTATGTAGTTTGCAAAAAATAACGTAGGCTTGGTTTTTGCAATGCACATAAATAATTTAACTTATTTTGTTGCAACAATATTTTATATTAATTTTGTAATACATAATTATATTACATACAAATTATAATTCTATATTAGACATTTTATAAATAAATTATCATAAGAAATAGTTTCTCTGAAATACACCTTCCGACGAAAGTCTAAACTTCTGAATGAATTTTTAACGAATTAACGTATGACGTTCTGTAAACACAGTTTGAAATATCGATTAGCCAGTAAAAGTTCCCACAGTGATTTCATATATACATTCACATTACGAACATAAATTACTCAAACAAACGAGCAGCGTAAATCATAAACACTGTATATTTTGTATAAATTTTAACGTGTAATATTTTAAACACTTATGGTTTTTATTTAGAAATTATGTATTCGATAACACGCTTAAACTTGGATTTTATCTTATCGAACGGTATCCGACAATGCAGTAAAATGTTTTGTTTCAGGTAATAATAATTAACTTAATTTAAATGTTTTGCGCTATTAAAAATTATATATTTAGAAATTTATAGAGCCCTCATATCTTGCGCTGATGGAAATATTATTCAAATAATATATTTAATAATAATATGAGCTTAACCCTATTTTATTCATTTCATTGAAAGTAGAATTTTGTTAAAAGCTTCCTATGTCTTTTGCACGGGAGATTGTTTGACAATCTCTTCAGCCTACAAGATTTTTCGTGGCGCATCCTGTGTGCATTGTCGAAGCGAATCACAATAACAATAAGGGGCGCGTTAGACAATTTTGCGTGGGGATTAACAGCCTACATTGTAACACTGCACTTTGGGCGCGGTGGTTCATGAAAATTTCATTTTTCGGAAAACAATTTCAAATTCTGAAGAAACCTAATAATACTATATATATTAGACCATTACAATCTGTAAAGAGGACTATAATTATATTACATTATAATTAGTAGAACTTGAAGCAAAGTTTCATAATGAGCTTTATTTTTAGTTTTATTGAATGGATATACTTATCACTAGTATTCCTCATAAAAAATGCGTTTTCTATAACGATAAGTATTTTCCATTTATAACCTTCTCTTGAAAACAATATTAAGCAACTTATATGCATTTGTAAGTGTTTGAAACGTTTACTGAGCTTTACATGAACGAAAATGATACTCTGATTTATAATATATAATGAAAAGTTTGACGTAACACGACTCTGCAAAAAGACCAATTTGCTTTTGCTCTGGACATAGTATAAAGTATAGCAGTTAGTTAATTTTCCACTGATCATTTTTATTTGAAAAATGCAATATCTAGTAAGATTTTGAAAAAGTTCAACTATATTTTGTGCATTGGATTTTAAAATATTTGAAACTTGTTGAGTATATTGGATCTATTTTATATAAAGTATCGTCCGATATTTCCTCTTTTCCACTACATAACACAATGCACACAAGAAGCATTATATCATTTTATTTGCTATGAGCACATAAATACGGTGAATCAGATAGACGACAGCAAGGTGGTTTTTAGTGTGGTCGTGGCATAATGTAGTCATGTGATTCACGTTTTATGCATTGAAATTCATTAGACAGAGGAAGCAGTTTGTGCTGTTCGACAAAATCAGTGGTTCGCGAACTTTGTATCCGCACTGTTGCATAATATTTAATTGTCATAGAGCTAACACGCGACTCCGAATATTTGAAACATCTATCAAAAGTCGTATTAATTATATACACACCTGTCCCTCGTTTTACACAGTACTCGGTCATGTTTACACGTTTTCGAGTTTACACGGTTTTTGAAAATATTTGTTTAACGAAATTTTCATCGTTTTATTGTCATAATACAACACTTTAAAATGTATGATACAGTTACGAATTCTTAGTACATATTCTATGTCTATGATGAAAATATGTAGATAAAAAATGGGAACTACCCGTTTTATGATCAAAAAGAGATTTTATGTGTGTATAAGCTAGTTTGTTCGAAAAACCAAAACGAAAATAGGATGTTAAGTTTTATGTATCGCAATCAACTTAAATGAATTTCTAATGTTGATTTTTAACTTTAAATAACATGCAATATTTAGATTTTTTATATTTCTTTTAATATTGAAATAAATCAATATTCTTATAACTTTGTTAAATATGTTAATATTCATTTATCGGTCAATGCGTTTGTAAAAACCGATTAAAAACTGTCAAAATGGGTTTTTATAGTGATTTTTGTTTAGCACGGTTTTTCTGTATAAGAGTGAATTTTTCGAGTTACACGGTTTTTTTATGGACCCTACCTTCCTTGGAAAACAGGGTAGGTGTATTGAATATATGCAATCAGCGTGTTATATGCGTTGTGGGCATTTGATAAAATTAATGTATGTATGTATATATTATATATGTATATAAAATGATAACAGTACAATTTTCTTCTATAGTACAAAATTTTGTATTCAGGATGTTAATTTCGATTACGATTTTAGATCAACAGATTTATATGAATATTTGTACAATTACACAGTGGATTCAATATAATGTCTTTTGAAAATTTAAGTCAATATGATTTTGTGCGGTATTATAATTTATTGACTCGGGTTTCAAGACTTATTTTAAGTAGCTCATTCAACATATATGAATTGAATTTTATACGTTATTTTTATGCTTTTACTAATTTAAATCGAACCACATCAAACATATTCAAAACGTATCATTGGAATAAGAAATAATATATTCATATTTAAATTATTAAAATTAATTTGACTGTATAAATGATTAAAAAAACAGTATTTTCTATTTATATCGCTCGGCTTGGCAGTAAAATATCAGCTCTGAGAGTTGTATAAAATATATTATGTGAACAAAAATATTGCAATAGCAATTTTCATGTTTAAATTAGGGCATTGAAAAAGGTTAAGGAACAATTACAGCAAAAATGTTATAATCGCCATTGCACTTTGAATATTTCTGTAAAGTAAAAATGATAAAATAATTATAAATAAAATAATCAGAAATGGATTTTCAATTATTTATGAAATGGAAAATGAATATTGATTGTATGAATTTAATTCAAACTACTAATAAGGATTCATTAAAGTGCGTCGTCCGGGTTTTTATTCTGATCTTAAATCTTAGCAAATGAATTCATTTCCTTTGTATTTCTATTATATTATAATTCGATGATTCATTAGCGAGGTGAGTCATTATCCGATGCGGATTACTTCATGTCTCGACGGTTATATATTTCATATCCGATATTAATTAATTTATGCTGTTACAATATCAACTATACCTTTCTGGTAATCTTTAGATAGGGGTTGAAATGGAAATTCAGGTCGTTCAGCAGAGTAAACTTTATACCAATTCTTAGTTCATAACTTAGTTGAGTAATTATAATTTTATTCATTATTTTGGTAATATTACATTGTATTCAGAATACACTTTCCTAGTTCATATAGCGTAGACATGCGCATTAATGTTTATCCGTTAACCTAGGTGAATTAATAATTTTTTAGAAGCGCGAAATTACTTTTAATTATCTTATAACGTCTTTTATGTGAGTGGTTTATTTTATATCAATCAACTTTAAATATTAAACGCCTCAATATACTGTCTGAATTGACTCATCATTTTGCTAAATCTCGTATAATACACTGTAACAAATAATTCATGTTAAATAAATCTAACATAGTACATGTCGATATCGTCCATCGGAAATATTAGCTAAGAACTATGAAAAAATACTTTTATGGCGATTTTAACCCAGTGGCGTGCAGTCATTCTTTGTAATTTATTTATTTAGTTGTTTTGTATGTTCTAATATTATTAGTAAATGTTGCGACAGACTCTAATTAGAGTATGTATATATGTTCATGGCAAATTGAACCGCCACCTTTCGTTGGAGCTTTGAAACAGTTCAGGCGTGATCCACTTTATTAGTCTGTTTTAAAACCTTTATACGACGAACAAATGTTATAATAGAAATAATCTTTTCGTAATTTTTTGAAGATTCTGATACCTAATATGTAATTAATAAATTACCATTTATAATATCCAAGTTTTAGTAAAACTATTTTTGTAATAACATATGATACTATTCGAAATTTATTGAAAGCGCAGCAATTTTGCTTTCTATGCTAATTCCATTGAAGTTTTCATTCCCGATAATAGAAAATCGTTAGAAATAAATAAAAAAAATCTTTTATTAATTCCTAATTAATAATCTACAAGACCATTTTATGCGGAATATTTCATATTGTTTCCAAACATTCAAAAACATTTTGAAAGGTATTAACTGGGCAAGTTTTCATTGGAATTAGATAGATTTAATTTTTAATATTTTCGAAGTTGGCTTTTAAAAATCATAAATTCGTGCACAAAAACTATGTACATCTATTCGGAATCACCTAGACTAATTCTACGTTTAATTTACACTATTGTTTCGTAATTAATTAAATGTAAACTATTTAAAAGAGAGCAAGGTCAATAGCATTGATTATTTCAAAAGAAAATTTCTTTGGCCAAATTTGTCGTCTTAAATTGTTCCTGCTGAAAAACTTGTTGACCTTAATTTTTGTAAATGAAGCACGATATTTTATATATATATATATATATATATATATATATATATATATATATATATATATATATAGGGGGGAAGTTAATTTTGAGACAATTTTAATTTTAATCTTGTGTAACTTCTGTTTGAAACTATTAATTGTATACCAAGAATCTAATTAAAATATTTCACAATTTCCCACTTGACAATGTCAAAATATGTTAATTCCAAAGGAAGAAGCATCAATCGCGATCGCGGGCACATTGAACAGTACATTCACCGCGAATGTCTATTATTATTACATATTATATATTTATATCGTAACTTAGATGTATTCAGTTATTTAGCAACCGTAGCAACCGTAGCAACCGTAGCAACCTCTAACCGGCGCGTATAGCACGAATAGCAGGAATAGCGTGGATCATGGGGCGAATCAGGGCGAATGCGCAAAGAGGCGAATAGCATGTGCTCCCTCAGTGTCAGTGTCATGGTGGGTGCTATCGAGGTATCGATCCGTCATCGTGCCTCCATCCCCTCGTTTCTCGTTTCTGCAAGATTGTCACTAGTCAGTAGTAGAGTGTAGCCCTAGTAGTTAGTAGAACTGCCAGCTCTTTCGCATTATTGTTTATATACACCAAAATATATTTATTTTTTCAAAGAAAATCGTTTAAAAATATAGAAGACACACATTCTAAAATAAATTTTTATACTAAATGAGATTATTTATATGTGATATTTAAAATTATTATATTTAACTATTGTGATAGTATTTTTGATTCCGAATACTCGTGCGGGCGCGTGTTTCAAAGTGTGCGTGATTTTATGTTTTACGTTTTATGAGAGTTTTCGTTCGCGATTGATAAAAAACTGACGTTTTTACGACGACTTTGTGGAAGCGGCTTAAAACGTTTTGGCAAAATGGGCGGATGCGCTTCGAAGGACAAAGTAGAAGGCGGAGGCGGTAAAGAATCGTCGGAAACCGCCAACGGGTGTGTATCAAACTCCAACTCGATGGTTTTCTTGGCTAGGTAAGCGTGCCGTTGCGCTTGTATTGTTTAGCCGGTTTAGCTAGCCAATGTCAATTTAATGGCATTGCACCGATGACGACGACGCCCTTATCGCATGGCGTCGGGACGCACATACCTCGAAAGCGGCGACGGCTTTAGGGGCGAAACCGACCTAACGCCCTAACTCCCTAACTCCTTAAACGTAAATCCGTACATCGCATTCTGTTTTCTACGTTTTATTCATTGACAATGCATGTGCATATGTCTAACGCTAAATGCATTTTTTACTCGTTTATTGGATCTCCGAAACCGCTAGACCAGCCTTTTCAAATGTTTAATCAGTTCATCATTTTGTTAAAAGAAGTAAAATATTTTTTTAAATTATTGAAATCCGATGCTCCGTTCTCTCAAAAATTGAATTACTATTTTTGGCACCTTTTACCCCGTATCCTCGAAACGGCTCGACATGTCTTGGCCAAAATCAGCACATCTCCTTATAAATAGGAACCGAATGTTTTTTCATTCATTTAATTCGGTGGATCCGTGTTCTCGAAATCGTAGACGAAAAATTGCAACCGCACACACATGCACACACACACACATACACATACATTCATTGTTTCTAATGTAAAATGTTCAGAAGGTTCTGAAACGTAAAAATGTATAAAAGTTTCCAGTTTAGTTTTTTTACGATATCTATTTTTTTTTTGCAGCTACGTGAATATTTTTCAATTGTAGCAAGGTCTTTATTTGCTCTACAAATATATAAACAAAATCTACATACTACAGATCAACCTATTAACACATGTATGCAAACATTTAAAAGATTGTACTGACGTGATATAAAATACAATATCAAAAATCAAATGATGGTTTAAAAGATATGCAATTGGAATTAGAATAAAGTTTAATGCATATTTTAATTTGTAAATGTAATTTTTAACTTGTTAAAAATAGCATATCTGTAAGCCTTCGTTATTTTTCAAATTTAATATTAAAAAATATAACAATAATAGTGGTCATACTTAAATTGCGAACTTCTTGCTTTTATTCTTTACAAAATAATATAAATATAAAAAAATTGCTTACATATTTGCTAGATAAGATAGAATTTATATCTCCCTCTTAGTCTCTTCATTAGCTTAAACAAAATTATTGAGTGGCGAATATTTTACTTTACTAGTCTATTTAGTTATATAATTATATATTAAATTAAATTTGATTATTAATTATTCCAGTAATATGGAAATTTTGTGGCTTAAAAACATATGTTTCTAAACGCTCTATTATATAATAGAACGTTTTTTCCGCGTAAATGATGGCACAAGAAAACTGACAAATAGCTTTTTTCATTTATTGTTTATTTGCAGGTTTTTAGGTTAGTTTAATTGCTTGGTGTTTCCTCATTTACATGCATATAAATTATAGTTGTGAATACTAAATTATGCTATTTTATATTAAATATTACTATTCTGCAATATTATATGCGCATTACTAAATACTAATTCAGCATAAAAAATTTAGCACGCTGAAATCAAATTTTACTATAATTATCATTTTAAATAAACTATTTTTAATCTTACTCACAATTAGAAATTTCCTGTTCTTCTACATGGGAAGATAATTCAGACAATAATTTAAACGTACAGCTTGTTTTCTTCAAGTTTGAAAATTTTAATCACTGATTCATTGTTCCAAAATAACTTCCAATTGTCAACTTATTCTTGCCTTTGGTCAACTTTTGTGAACCCCGTTGTTTTTGTTCAACATTTTCCAAACCATACTCTTCTTTTATCTATGTTTCTGAGGGCGCTACATCTGTCAAAATAAGATACAAAATAACTAAAACAAACCCGCAAACCGATATTGTAAGCGTATTGTAGACGATATAAGATAATAAGCTTATTGAGCATTACTTATGTTCGAAACTTATGCTGGGTATTTCAAAATATCAATTAAATTTTTCCATAAAATAATTATGTATTGATTTAGTTCACGTTTATTGATTGATTACAATCTGAAATTAAAACGGCAATGATATTATACGATACGATAGTTTATGGCAGCAAAAAATATGTAACATTTAAGTAATTTTTTTATTTTTTTTTTATTTTACAGAAGCAAAAGTATGGTTGACGCAGCCGTCTTGGACAAATTGGAATCTGGCTACGCCAAATTGGCAGCCTCAGATTCCAAATCCCTTTTGAAGAAACATTTAACAAAGGAAATCTTTGACAACCTCAAAACCAAGAAGACTTCCTTTGGCTCTACCTTGCTTGACTGCATCCAGTCTGGTAAGATCTAGGAAACTAACAATAATTTTCATTGATATTATGATATTATAATAAGCTCATGTCTCATTTTGTATTATTTTAGGTTTGGAAAACCATGATTCAGGTGTAGGTATCTATGCCCCAGATGCTGAAGCTTACTCCGTTTTTGCTGATCTGTTCGACCCGATCATTGAAGAATATCACTTCGGTTTCAAGAAAACTGACAAGCACCCCCCCAAGAACTGGGGTGATGTAGATACTTTGGGCAACTTGGACCCCACTGGTGAATTTGTTGTATCCACCCGTGTCCGTTGTGGACGTTCCATGGAAGGCTATCCATTCAACCCTTGCTTGACTGAAGCCCAATACAAGGAAATGGAAGAAAAAGTATCCAGCACACTTTCTGGATTGGAAGGAGAATTGAAAGGAAAATTCCACCCATTGACTGGTATGCCAAAAGATGTTCAGCAACAGCTCATTGATGATCACTTCTTATTCAAGGAGGGCGATCGTTTCTTGCAATCTGCTAATGCTTGCCGTTTCTGGCCAACTGGACGTGGTATCTATCACAATGATAACAAAACTTTCCTCGTCTGGTGCAATGAGGAAGATCACTTGAGAATCATCTCCATGCAAATGGGAGGAGATTTAGGCTGTGTGTACCGTCGTCTTGTAAATGCTGTGAATGATATTGAGAAGCGTATTCCTTTCTCTCACCACGATAGATTAGGTTTCCTCACTTTCTGTCCCACTAACTTGGGAACTACTGTCCGTGCCTCTGTGCACATCAAGGTCCCTAAGTTGGCTGCTAACCGCGCCAAGTTGGAAGAAGTTGCTGGACGTTACAATCTCCAAGTTCGTGGAACTCGTGGTGAACACACTGAAGCTGAAGGTGGTGTCTACGATATCTCCAACAAGAGGCGCATGGGCCTGACTGAATACCAAGCTGTCAAGGAGATGCACGATGGCATTGCTGAACTCATTAAGATGGAGAAAGAAATGTAAACATTTCACTTTTATCATCAGACTATTTTTTGTGATCAAATAAATGGTCATGCGATAGATATTGGCAAAGATTCTATCAGTATTTCTATTTTTAAATAATAATTTATATTATATTGTTACAACTTTTTTTCAATAATTTAATTTTTATTTGTACTAAAACTATTTAAATTGTTTTAATATGCCAATTTTGCTTATTTTAATGAAAATAAATAGTATCAAAATATATTAATATGTTTAAATATGCCATAGATCTTTAGAAAATGGTTAAGGAATAATACATGTTTGGATTCTTATAATAATAAAAGTAATTCATTACAATTGTTCTAGATTACGTTATTGATTGAACGAAAGATCAGTTTTGTTCATTGTGATGAATGCAAATTAATGTTAATGATGTAAAACATTGTACAGATATTGTTACTTCAATATATTTGACATCATTCCTGTAACAATAATTTGGCAAAACAAAAATGGAACTATAAATAAAAATAAATTTATTAAATGATGGGTTTATTATCGTACTATAATTACTTCTCAGGAAAAGTTGCAAGATTATTCACCTATGGCAACAAATTTTTCTTCTATGTATCAATTTTATCTATCTCATAACAAGTTTGCAATAGAATATATATAGCATCGTAATAAAAAATATCTATTTTGTATTTCTGTGCTGTTAAATTAATTTTTTTTTTATTTGAATTTTAATATAAATTTTATAGTTCTCAGACAGGCGGAAGTGTGTGGTATGAGAGATTGTACAAAATATCTATACGAAGTATATATTTATTTCATACATGTCTATAAATATATATATATATATATATATATATATATATATATATATATATGCAGTAAACCCTCGCTTTACGCGGCAAATGCGTACCGTGCAGTATGGGGACCGTGCTATTTAACATACAATTCAGGCTAATTCGTAGTGCGTTTTATGGAACCTTATATAGTGCCTGGTATGAGAGTATATGAAAACAGTTTTCATATTTTAAATATACATTTCATTTGACTATTTCATTAAAATAATATTTATTATAATTAAAATTTCTTTATATAACTCTTCAGTCTTCTTTGTCTTCAATTTCCTTACAATATTTCTTTATTTTTCTTTTAAATAGTGCTCCGCCTGGTTTTATTTGTTCTTTGTTTTAGATGAAAATTTGCTTATTTATAGTTATCGATGTGCATGTTTTATTTTTGTTATGTTTAATCTCATGTATTAATTTGCACTTTTCTATTTTAATAATTTGATTTAATAGTAGGTTATCTGTTACATATCGAATTTCTTTAGTAGGTGTGAAATCCTTAAATCCTTAAAATGACGATAACGTGATTGGACGTCCCCTTATTATTAAAATCTCTATAAAATATCTGATAATTTGATGTGCATATGTTTAATGATCAATTTTGACCGCTAAATGTTTCTTTTTCATTTTTTATTGGATTACCGAAACCGCTAGACCTGCCTCCCACAAATTTAAGCAGTTCTTTATTTTGTCAATACATGCATTTTTTTGTATTATTGAAATTGGACGCTCCGTTTCTCAAACTGAATTATAATGTTTGGCATTTTTGCTCGTATCTTCTCCTTATCAATATAAGAATCGAATAGTTTTAAAATCATTCAAATTGGTCGACCGTGTTCTCGAAATCCACCTAAATAATTTAAAAAAATATTAGATTTATATTTATGGGAAGACGTGCTGATTAGTTTTTGGCACAGGCAGGTCCAGCCGTTTCGAAAAATAGTAATGTCTTTCGATATTTTGTTTCTTAAACTACGCAACGCGATTGCTTTGAAAAAAGTTCATAATTTTCAAAAAATTTCAAAATTAAAAAAAATGTTATTTAAAAGTCTTTTTTTAGTTATTCAAAAAATTGTAAAGCTCCTTATAAAATGAAATTTTTAGTACGGGAAGTACCAGTAATTTGCCTTAAGGCGCAATGCCATGCGCCGCTAGTTTAATTTTTTTTGGCGCTATAAGTACACAAATTCGTCATCTCAAGAAGGCTCGAGATCTGAATGAGAACACATTTTTCTCAAACTTTCAGTTCGTTTACGAATGAGCCAAGACAAAATAATGAATTTTAATAATCGGTTCTTTGAACCCAAATTTTGCATTGCAATCGTACTATGTTTCGTTAATTATATTTTTTTAAATAAAAAATGTTATTAAAAAATTAGTAATATTGCTTAGAATTTTTCTATCACTTTCAAAATTTTGCCGCCCTGGGCACTAGCCCCGACTGCCCTTGCTGTAAAAACAGCACTGAATAGGGCGAATATTGTTATTGGCGCAGCAATACCGGGTGAGGGCTATTTTCACCTGGAAGCATATTGCTGTCTATATTTCCAAGTGAAAATCGTTGTCACTGCTGCCTGACAACAGGCCGCTCGAAATGGGTAAAAAATTAGGGACCTCTGAACTAAACTAAAATTTAAAAATTATTAATTTTGAAGCTTGTGATATATTTCCCTTTTTTTCTTTACTATTTGAAATAATTAAAGCTCTACTAAATGCAAATAATGACTAATAGAAAACTAGTATATTAGTCATTTCTTGGATAGATTGTGCGAATTAGGAAATCAAAATCAATTCAATAGTTTGCTAATGATAGTTTTTAAAAACCCATAATCTTATTTCAAAGTGAACTTATACTGATTTAATATATTAATTTTTCAAGCAAGATAAATATTTCAAAGATTTTGTGACTAAATGTTCAAAATGCAATACAATTTGAGAAGCATCTGGGTCCTTCATTCAAAGTGATACGGAAAACTATCAAATACAGTAAGATCATCATTATCAGTTAATTTTGATAATCGATTGAAGGCTCTAAAATATGCTTAAAATTTGATTTCAATATTCATTTATATTGGTGATAAACTTCAACAGTTTTTCGAGGTAATAACAGTATAATTTCTGATTTATGATCCTTCCAGTTACAATCGTTGCTGATGAACGCTGGAAGTTTTTCCAAAATAAAACTGGAAAAAAATTATGTAACTAGTAACTGATAATATTATGTAGCAAATTTTATAAATTTCTAGAATCAAACGTCTTGTCTCAGACTCATAAAATTTTAGATGTTCTTCAAGGTTATAATCTCTATGATCATGAGAAGTTTCATCAAAATCGCAATATTTTTTCAATAATTAATTTCGAAGAAACAGCCAGGTCGATATTTACCAAAACAATCAGCACGATTTCGATATTTTTCGAACAATTTTTGAATTTTAAAAATCGCTTCAAAGTTTTTTGGTAAAATGAGGACGAATATTTTAGCATTTTTCTGGTCCAAGGCAACAGCTTGACCGATTGATGCGAAAAACTGATCAACGCTAGTCCTGGCCAGTCCTCATCGAATTTCATCGGTAGCTTTTAAATTTTTGTAATCGGTGCAGTCGTTTTTAAGAACGTGTCAATTCACATATTTTTTCTAATTTCATCTCAAATGGTCTAAAATGACTTGAAACGTAGAGAAAACATAAAAAATAGTAAGTTGGATTTTCTAGCAGAAACAAACTTCTTCTTCGGGAAGTTAAAATTGGTTTTCAATCTTTGTATTAATTTTATGCAATGTTTTCATATTTTGTGAGAAATTTTTGCTCTTCGTGGGGGCCTTCAAACAAATTTTGATAAGGGCCCCGCCAATGCACGCCTCTGATTACTAGATAAGATGACTAGATTGAATATAATATGCCCGCTTTTGAAAATCCCTTACATTATAGAAAGCGGCAAGCTTACTTACGTATATGCTTGGCACTCTTTGCGGATCTGAAACTCGGTGCCCCATCTTTCTTTAGGTGTAACTTCTACTTTTTCAAGCCACAAGTTGTACTTCCATTATATTCTAGAAAAGTTCTATTAAAATTTTCTTAAAAGGTAAGCTCAATAAATGTTTAAGTGTAATTTTTATCAACTTCTGCTAATAATAGTTACATTTATTTTTAAGATGGATTTCAAGAATAGGACTAGGAATAGGAAGCATGGGACAAGCTATGACTAGACTGTGTTCCCAATGGATTCATCTATAATTTTTGTGAGAAAGTTGTTGAAAGTATTTAACTATTACTACTAGCATTAGTAGTCATATTTCCAACAACTTTTTTACAAAAATTATAGATGAATCCATTTGGGAACACAGAATTAGAATTGATTAATCTGCATAGATTAATATTACGTTTTTCTGCAAGTAATAAAATGGCACATAGTACAGCGTGACAGACTCAGGAAATGCTTCACAAGTAAGCTGTTCTATTTCCTAGATTTGAGTGATGTAATAAATTCTGTAACCTTTCAAATAATGCTGGCCAAAAATACATTTATTTTTAAACTACTACATTTGTTGTTTAATATCTTGAAAATCTGAGTTTTAGAATAGGGGTCGCATATTTTTATTGATGCCCAAGCTCAGATACATGTTTACTTATCTATGCTCAGATATGAGGTAGGAAGTTGACAATTTGTATATAAGATTTTTTCGGAAAAAGCATACGAATCAATTAAATACAAAGGTTAGATCGATTGTGTATGAAAAGGCCACATCGCCTTTAAAAACCTTTTTCATGCGGATTAATTTAAAAGCATGATATTAAATTAAATGTTAGTTTTCAAATAGAATAAAATAACGCTATAGAAAAAATATATGATTCTTTCAGAAAAAAAACAAACTAGTTGGTATTGGTATTTAGCCTTGAGGCAAGTTACATGAACTTCCCAATATGTGTAAATAATCGACTTAATCAATAAGAAATAAATTAATTTATGAGTGATTAAAAGTATTTCGAGTGGATTTATTATACATTATTGAAAACGAACGAACACATTAACACGTAGTATATTCTAAAAGCAAATATTCAAAAATCAATCATTTCTATAATTGAACCAGTTTCCGTAGGACTTTAAGGATTTAGTATGTTCATTAAGACCAAGTACTCTATCGTTATATCAAGTAAATCTAATTTTAATTTTAGCTAACGTCAGAGAAACTACTCATTTTCTCAAACTATGATGAATTTTTAAAATTAAACTACTTGTCGTAAGGCCGTAATATTACAGTAAGTTCTATAAGACCAGGATATATATCGCCAAAAAAAAGTTCCATAAAAATCGGCTTAATTTTTTTTTTTCAACAGTTAATTACAAGAAAACGGCTCGGTAGATTTTCACCTAAAACTAATCAGCGTCATTCCCAACTAATATCTTTCGAACAGTTTTTGATTTTTTAAAATCGATTCGGTTGTATGAGCTTAAATGTGGACGTAAAGCTTAACATTTTTTTTAAATTATAAAGAAGCGGCTTGGCAGATAGTCGCACAAGACTGACAAACGATAGTGTAGTAGGCGTTTTTGAGAAAACGTCGATGAAAGGTCTAAATTCGACCAATGCCAAAAAAACGATACCAATTTTTGCAAACTTTGACGAATTTTTAAAGTTAAACCAATTGTCGTAGGGCCGTAATATTTTAGTATGATCTAGAAGACTATGGTATCTACCGTCAAAAAAATAATAATAATAATCGTCGAAAAAATTGTTTTTAACATTTTATTACAAGAAAACGGCCCGGCCGATCTTTACGAAAAACTAATCAGCACGATTTCCAACCAATATCTTTCGAACGGTTTTTGAATTTTCGTAATCGATTCAGAATTGCGGGCTAAAACTTGGACGAAAAAAATTTCACTTTTCTGCTATTTATGAAAAAACGTCTCGGCCGATCGTCGCACAAAACTGACAAACGATAGTCCTCATCAAGATACATCAAATGGCTTTTAAATTTTTGAAATTGATCCAGCCGTTTTTGAGAAAACGGCTATTTACGGTAAAAAATCTGTTGATGCACACGCACACACACACACATACTTTTTTCAAATTTGATCTCATTCGATTCAGAATGGCTTGAAACGTCGAGAAAACATAAAATTAGCGAATTGGATTTTTTGATGAAAACATATACTTCTCCTTCGGGAAGTTAACTAGTGGTGTATAGCATCATGCCTTAAGGCAAATTGCTGGAACTTCCCGTACCGTAACGAAATATTTTCAAATAGATTATTATAAGTATTGTAACATGACTTTAACATTGTCTAATATTTATAAGAATTATATAAACTGAAATGCAAATTTGAAATTATTTGTTCAAAGTATATTAGAACTTCAGTCAGAATTAAAATTAAAATCTGAATTATTTTCGATATACACAAAAAATTGAAAAACAAAATTTGGAAAAAAAATTGAAACATTTTTTTTCCAAAAGCAATTATTTTGTTAAAACAAGCAGAAAGTTTGTTGAATCATTCAAATCGGACGCTTAGTTCTTTCAAAAACTGCTATTTTTGCACATTTAGCTCTGTATCTTCGAAATGGCTAGACCTGTCTTTGCCAAAAACTAATCACCTCTTCTCCCAATTAATTGTTTTTTTTACATCATTCAAATCGGATACTCTGATATCTCAAAAACTCGATTTGTATTTTCTGCACTCTTTGCTCCGTATCTCCGTAACGACTGGACCTGCTTTTGCCAAAAACTAATCAGCACATCTCCTTATCAATAGAAACCGAATGTGTTTTGAACCATTCAAATTGATTGATCCGTACGCCCGAAAACGTGGACGAAAAAATGTAGACATACAAAACACACACCACACATCCAATTTTTCTTAAGTATGCTAAAATGTTCAGAAACCTTTAAAACGTGAAGATATGCAGAAATTTTCGATTTTTGGCCCATTACTATAACTACCCTACGGGAAGTTAATATATAAATATAAAACTAACAATAAATTTCAAACAATATACCAATACGTCTGAAATATAATAATACACATGATAATTTAATTTCATTTGAAAACAACTCTAACGTAATTTTACAATTACATAAAAAAATGATAAATAAAATTTATAATTATAAACCAAATTATCAAGAATACCTTTCCCATTTTGATACTCTTCTTTTATCTATAGACAAAAACTTTGTACGATGATAGAGTTCGTGGTCTTAAAGTACAAAAATTACCTAAAAAATATTATACACATACAAAAAGTGGTTTAGTTACAAAAATGTATTAGTATTAAAAATAATAATCCGCATTCCTAGTACGTATGCATACGCTATGTATATTCCGTTCTGTGTTTCGTACTGATTACCGTTGATGTCCACACTTAAATAAAAACATTTCTAGAATACGAAGTGAAATATAATGTATTGAATAAATTAAATTTATTTAATACAATTACTGATGTTTGAAAAGTCTGTTTAAAATTTATCAATTAAAAATGATATTGGATTAATTTTAAATATAAATTTGATATAGATAATTAAATTAGGATTGTTTTAAACATATTGGGAAGTTTATGCAAAAACAAAGGAAAATTGTCACTTAAGTGAACTCGATGTAATTACATCGAGTTCACATTGTTTTGTATATATAAAAAGCATGATTAGAATAAATTCCAGACAATATAATAATATAATGGAATAAATCATCTGCGTTATGCCACATAATAAAATAACTCACAAAGATCCTATTCATAAGCATTTGTATTAAATTTTATTACGGTTTTGCTAAAATATATTATTTAATTAATTTTTAACTTCCCGTAGGGTAAGTTATTGTAATCGTCCAAAAATCGAAATCAAAAATTTTTACATTTCTCGACGTTTTGAAGGTTTCTGAACATTTTGGCATACTTCAGAAAAAATGGATGTGTGTGTGTGTGTTTTGTATGTCCGCTTTTTTTCGTCCACGTTTTCGGGCGCACGGATCAACCGATTTGAATGGTTTAAAAAACATTCGATTCCTATTGATAGGGAGATGTGCTGATTAGTTTTTGGCAAAGACAGGTCCAGCCGTTACGGAGATATGGAGCAAAGAGTGCAGAAAATAGAAAGCGAGTTTTTGAGAGATGGGATCAACCGATTTGAATGGTTTAAAAAACATTCGATTCCTATTGATAGGGAGATGTGCTGGTTAGTTTTTGGCAAAGGTAGGCCCAGCGGTTCCGGAAATACAGAGCTAAATGTTAAAAAAATGGCAGTTTTTGAGAGAACTAAGTGTCCGATTTAAATGACTTAAAGAACTTTCTGCTTGTTGCAACTAAAATTACATCTTATTTAGAAAAATGTAACTTATTAAAAAAAAACATAAATATTTGTAATGTAATTAACTTCCCGTAGGGCAAGTTATAGTAATCGCAAAAAAATCGAAAATGAAAATTTTTATATATCTTTACGTTTCAGAGGTTTCTGAACATTTTGGCATACCTTAGAAAAAATGGATGTATGTGTGTGTGTGTGTGTGTATGTGTGTGTGTATGTATGTATGTGTGTGTATGTATGTGCGGATACAAATTTTCGTCGACGATTTCGGGAACACGGATCAACCGATTTGAATAATTCAAAAAACATTCGATCCGTATTGATAAGGAGACGTGCTGATTAGTTTTTGGCAAAGGCAGGTCAAGCCGTTCCGAAGATACGGGGCAAAAAGTTCCGAAAACGGTAACTCAGTTTTTAAGAGAACGGAGCGTCCGATTTTAATAATTAAAAAAACATTTTATTTGTATTGACAAGATGAAGAATCGATACAACTTTCATGAAGGTAGGTCCAGCGGTTTCGGAGATATAGAGGAAAAAGTAAAAAAATGAGCCATTTGGCGGTCAAAAATGATCATTAGACATATGCACATCAAATTATCAGACATTTTATAGAGATTTTAACAATAAGTATACATTTTGTTAACATTCCTATCGGTTCCGTACCAATGCTTATGCGTTAGACAACGACGCGGCGCTTACGCGCTTTATATTTTGTCCCTATGTAGTTAAAGCAGTACGATTGCTTTGAAAAAAAAGTTCAGATTTTCCACAATATGTCAAAATAAAGAAAAAATTTTTTTTTTCCAAAAAAAAAAAATTTTTTTAAAAAAAATTTTTTAAAAAAAAAATTTTTTTTTTCAAAAAAAACTAATTTTTTGTCCAATTTAGAGTTTCTCAAAAATCTTATTTTTTCAAAGTATTTTTTTTTCAAAAATGTTAATCGTTTTAAAAAAAAAAAAAAATTTTTGGTACAGGAAGTTCCAGCAATTTGCCTTAAGGCACGATGCTCTAATTGCCTTAAGACAGAATTCCACTTACAGCTAGTTTTTAATTTCAATGCGAATAAGAATACGACATAATGCTGTGAGATTGTGCCATATCGCTATATCCATTATTTGCCGCTCCATGCTGTGATAATATAATAATGTGTGTTAAATACCCTTAATTGCAATACTGTCATCTGGCAATAACCGCAAACTTATCGCGAATCGGGTACGGCATCCGCGGCATCCGCTTCAAGCACTTTGCCCTAACTTCACGCTCTTCACGATCTTCACGCGATTTGGGCGCATTCGGTCTCTGTTTCTCGCTTGCACTTGTTGCGGTCGGTCGGTTCGTTGATGTGCTTGTGTTATCGGTACTATCGGTGCTATCGGTTGCTCAATTCTTAAAATCGTGTCTCGTTTCTTTGAAATCAAACACCATGCCTGTTGAAATTGTTGCCGGTGTCGAATGCAAGAAATTGCTGTAAGTACAATATAGTTTTATTACTCCATCTTTGTATTTTTATAAGCGCAGCCATTTATTAGGCACTATGCCTTTGTGAAAAAAGAAAAATGGCCTGTCGGCTTAATTGACCATTTTTTATGATAAGGTTTTATATAACAGCGTCTATTTACATTATGTTAATAGACGTTTTTCTGCTTTAGAACTGATGAAATTGATGGAGGTGATTTAAGTGAGCTTGAAACCCAATATAAGAAATTGATGGCGTCCGATTCGAAGTCGCTTCTAAAGAAACATCTAACACAGGAAATTTTTGATAACCTCAAAACCAAGAAAACAACTTTCGGTTCTACTTTATTTGATTGCATAAAGTCCGGTAAACATACTATATTTGGTATCATATTAGTATTAGCATACCTTTAGTTTTCATGGTGTCTAAACTAAACATAATTCAAAATTGCACAATACAGTATTTTTTGTTAGTTAATATTACTATGTGAAATTTAATTTGATATGATTTAGTAATATGACTCATGTTTTATTTGCTTTGTAGGGCTTGAGAATTATGATTCTGGGATAGGCATTTATGCCGCAGATGCTGAGGCCTATTCTGTGTTTGCTGATTTATTTGATCCAATCATTGAAGAGTACCATTCAGGTTTCACAAAAACTGACAAGCATCCTGCCAAAAACTGGGGTGATGTGAACTCCTTAGGCAACCTTGATCCTACTGGAGACTACATTGTTTCTACACGAGTAAGATGTGGTCGTTCAATGGAAGGTTATCCATTCAACCCTTGTCTGACAGAAGCCCAATATAAGGCTATGGAAGAAAAAGTATCCAGCACCCTTTCTGGGTTGGAAGGAGAATTGAAAGGAAAATTTCACCCATTGACCGGTATGCCGAAGGATGTTCAGCAACAGCTCATTGATGATCACTTCTTGTTCAAGGAGGGTGATCGTTTTTTACAATCTGCTAATGCTTGCCGCTTTTGGCCAACTGGACGTGGTATCTATCACAATGACGACAAAACTTTCCTTGTGTGGTGCAATGAGGAAGATCACTTGCGAATCATCTCTATGCAAATGGGTGGAGACTTAGGCTGTGTATATCGACGTTTAGTAAATGCTGTGAATGAAATAGAGAAACAAATACCGTTCTCTCATGATAGCAGATTAGGTTTCTTGACATTTTGCCCAACAAATTTGGGAACTACAGTACGTGCTTCTGTGCACATCAAGGTCCCCAAACTAGCTGCAAACTATTCTAAATTGAAAGAAGTTGCAGAGCGCTACAACCTTCAAGTTCGAGGAACACGTGGCGAGCATACAAAGGCAGAGGGAGGGGTCTATGATATCTCCAATAAGAGACGTATGGGGCTAACTGAATATGAAGCCGTCAAAGAAATGCATGATGGAGTTGCAGAGTTGATAAGAATTGAAAAAGAAATGTGAGTTACTGTAGTTCTAAACTGTAATCTTTGGTTAGGTATTAAATTTGTACTGAATTCACTGCAAATAAATATATTTTGAAATTGAAATGAAATCTTCACTTTCTACATTTAAAAAATTTTATTAGAATTTAAAGGAAAAATTTAAAAACAAAATCGAAAAAAAAAACATGACAAATTTCCTAGTGTGTATAAAAGAAAACATTAGTAAAATAAATAAGGTATATAATAAAAATATAAATCTATATATTTTCATATTCCATGAAACTAAAGTTGAAATGAACACTTGCTATTAAATGTGCATTTATTTGCACCTCTACTGTACTTTGCTATAGACGTTTGTTTTCAGAGGTAGATGCATAAATTTAATAATTCATAAATACATGTGTTTAACAAATGTAAATTTCATTTTCAGACTGGTTCTTGGTATCAGAATTATAATTAATCTTATGTAATTAATCGTGTATTTATATACAAGGATTAAAAATTAGTATCGTATTCAAAATGTAATGGAGATACGTATAAAAGTGTTTACCTACAGTTTTACATAATAAAAGTAACATTTAATGCAATAATGTTATTAAATTATTGTTCATAATTATTATTTTAATTATTTTCCTACAGACTCGTTATATATTAAGCTTAACCATTCGAAAAAGAACGGTTACACGATAAATTTTGTGATCGGTGTTAGTTGGCCTGTCCTATGAATTTAAGGGTTGTCAAAAGGGCGAAGTGAAATATAAGGATTACATATCGATATCGTAGCTGTTTGCATCGATAGAAATGACAGCGTTTTCTGACGATAATGCGGCGTGTTTTATAAGCCTCTTTAATATATTAGGTTATAAAACCGTTATGAAAGATGTCATTCTGGCATTAGTGCTATTATAATTACATACAAAAAATAGAAATTTTGTAAAGATCTTGAAACTTGCGTGATCATGTTTCGATGACGATAAATTAAATTCAATATTTGGTGTCTATTTGTGAAATTAAAATTAGTATAAAGCTTCGTGAACAAGATAGTTGATCATAAAAACAATTTCATTATGAGTCCTACACAGAAACCTAAAGTATTGCATTTGCCATTAGCGCGAGTAAAAACTATTATGAAAAGTTCTCCAGAAGCAGAAGCCGTTTCGTTTGATGCTTCCTATTTCGTAGCAAAATCTGCGGTGAGTTTTACATTCAAATTCTATCAAGTTATTTTTCTAATATTTTAACAATTGAACTATTATTACATATGAGTTTTGATTATATGTGGACACTACAGAGAACAATAAAACTGAATATTGTATTTTAATTTATACTTTTATGAAGTTACTTCAAGAGGATTATCAGTTATTGATATTGTGCTTATTCTTAAAAATCATACCTTGAGAATAGCTATCATAACTAGGTAATAAAATTAATAACAAGGTTTTGATTAATTTGAATTTATTGCAGGAGCTTTTTGTCGCTTACCTTGCTAAACAAGCTTATAGTAAAGGTAAAAAAGATTTGGATTATAAAGATGTTACCAATGTTGTTCATAACAAAGACACATTAGACTTCTTATGGGAATTAATGCCAAAAAAAATTACGGTGAGACAATACAAAGAACTAATGTCAAAAAAGAAAGTGGAAAAAGATCCCATTTCCAGTTTGGAATCAGAAGAATCTGATAGTGAGGAATGATAGTAATTAATAACTAATTATACAGGTTGTAATTATATATTACAATATATATTTTTACAATCATTATTACATTTCATCAAACAAATCATCCATTTCAATGTCTTCTGGCGGTTCTACAGACTCTGTTTCCGAAACCTTCAGGAACATATCAGCTTCTTGTTGCGATATTTTGCTTAATGGGTTTTCATCAATAGTAATCAAGCCCAAATTTTCTTTCACCAGATTACTCCAGAATAAGTCTTTCCTATTTTTTAACACAACATCTTTAAGCTCCTTCAGCCAGTCATTATATTCTTTTGTGTGTGTTTTGATACATTCATCTCTCAATGTTCTCAAAGCCACCAATGCTTTGGAATAATCGGTGTCAAATGACTTGAGAGGAATATTGTAAATTACTTGTTGTAACTGCTTAATCACTAGAACAGCAGTAGTTTGAATTTGGATCATATACAAAACAAAAACAATTACTACTTACCAGTCAATTTATCTTCTCTAGTAATTAATTTTAAGAAATCTTCTGATGGGTTCACTGTGCCCACTTCAACAAGTTCGGCTTTAATTGCATCTTGAATTTTAAGTATGTCTTTTGCTTCTTGAATACTCTGTAAATCTTCCTCTTTGCCAATTGTCTTCAGACGGCTAAATTAGATTAATAAGTCAAACATTTAGTGATTTTAATAAAATTGTTCCTATTTGTTTAGTTTGTAATTAATTTATAAATACTATAAGCAATCTTCTTTTACATGTATATATGGTAAATCTTAAATATGTAAACAATAATCCTTACACATACAGAATGAAAGTAGTAGTTAATCATTCCTTATTCATATAAAGAATGAATAAGAACTAATCAAAAGTTACTTGTTAACTATCTAAACTAGATCAGTAGTATAATATTTCAAATAAGGACCAAACAAACATTGTTAACACATAAGTTACATGCAAATAAACAATTTTAATTAATACATTGTTTTAGAAAATAAACTCTACATATATACTTTTGCAGCTCACACTAATTGGAATTTATTGTGAAACAAAATAAATAAAAACATTGCCTTCAAAATAAAATATGCTTTGGAATAATCATATTCAAGTAATTTGAGTAATGTAATATGAGAAATTTGAGAATATTTTGATTATTGAAATGCAACGTAGTTAAATATTGTTCCTATCATACACTTTTATATATATATATATATATATATATATATATATATATATATATATGTTGATAGAACTAAACTTTTTAAGCAGGCATCCATCCAGATAATAAAGATAAAACTATATTTGAAAGTAAATTTAATGGTCCATATAACAAAATATAGCTTTCTTTATATTTATTATCTGAATGAATGCCTGATTAAAAAGTTTATAGTTTTATCAACGAAAGAATTATATGAGGATAGTTTTGGCGATGTTGATACATATTTGAAGTATTTTGCAGCCCAATTGTTGAATCAATTTTAATTTGACGATTGGGCTGCAAAATACTTCATATATATATATATATATATATATATATATATATATATATATTAGGTTGTCAAATATCTCCCTTCCGCTTTTTTGCTCTTGGCAATACAAAAAGGCAGAAGGGAGATATTTGACAACCTATTATATATATATATATAATATATATATATATATTTTTGATGTGCAGGTTTTAAATATGACTAACTAAAATTAAATATTGCAAATACCCATTAAAATTAATCTTACCTATTGATCCATTTGTTCCGTTCAGATATCATTTCCTGTTTCTCGATTAGTGGGAATAAATCCTTTATTTTTGCAATTGCCTTTTGTGAACCTTCCAATATTTTTTCAGGAACATTTATTAGATTTAGCACATCTTTCTGGACTGGAGGCAGCTGTTTGGTCTTATACATAGCACGGAATGACAAGCTTTGGAAAGCATGCTGCATATATGGATTTAAAGTTCTCTTCACATGATATGCCTCCATAGGTTCGCCATCTTCAGTCCTATTTCATGGAGAAATTGCACAGTATTTATTAATTTTACATATTACGTATAAATTGAATTTGAGTTTGTAAATAAACATAGTATAAGTATTTTCAGTTATTCAATCTGAAATTGCACAATTAATCACATTTTTGTGGTATATTAAATATTTTACAATTAAGTGAATATATCCAGATGAAATTATATAACAATACTGTTGGTATCGGTTATTTATTTATGTAATATTATTCTCAGGAGTCTTGATAACTATCATAGATAAAATATAAAACTATTAGTTTATTTTTATGTGGAAAACAAAAAAAAGAACAGCATAGCTTACAGAGATGAACTCCAGTTCTATTTTATAAGTTGTTATTGTTACCAATAACATATAGTAAAAAAACTATTTGTCACGTAATGAGATTCTGCAAAAAATATTTTGTATAGGTAATTAGGTAATTAGTACAATATCACAATCACTAATATATTTAGTTTTTCAATGAACAAGAACAATTGCAGCGTTTTTTGTGATTTAAAATATACTATTTTAACAATTCCTACTCTTTTGTTGGCAGGATGAACCACTTGCATACTGTGACTCTGGATAAAATTCTGTTTTAGATCTGTAAATAAATACTAATAAATGAGTGGATACTAACTCGGCTGCCGTCATCAGATCCATAGAATCAATTAGTGAATCAACAGCTTTTAATTGCTCTTCATTTGGCGTATTTTTTTTTCCTAATAAGGGTGGAAAGCTAAGAAGATGCAGATCTTCAAAAAAGGGTAATTGTATCATACAGAGGCATTTAAACTTATTTGTAATCTTTGGTAATAAACATTGTATTGTTGGCGCATTTCCACAATTGTACACTCTTCTAGCTATTCCAACAACTTCACTATTTTGCATTGAATCAACAAGAGCGGAAAAGGCCCTCTCGGAACTCTAAAATATGAAAGCACCATACAACAAACACATATATATTTTTAAGCACTAAACTGTTTAACAAGTTACCTGATAACCTTTCCGTGCCACTATACAAGTAACACCATTCCCTGAGAACCATTCACGATGAATATTAGACAACTTAGTAAAACCTAGAATAATTAAACATCTTGGACCAGAAGAATAGCTCATAGTCTCATCGGCAGAAGTATAAGGCACAATGGTAGCACCATATTGATAGCCAGGAATTAGGTCTGATTTATCAATTTTTGAATTATTTTCTGACTAAAAAGTAATTATCATATTCACTGAAAATTATTTTTTTACAGATAATTGCAGTTAACATATTTTTAACACTTACATGCTTGAAATACTGCCGTTGAATTTCACATGCTCCATCTAATACAGTAGTTCTTCTCTTCCATGTTGGTAAGCAGTTATCATCTGAGATCTGAAAAATAGTTGATGTGTTTAGATTACATTACATATCAAAAATATATAGCTGGAAATTATTAGAGTATTATTTGTTTTATTATAAGCAAAGAAATCTTTAATTAATGTTTGATATAACATTATTAGTCTAGTTCTGTGTAAATATAGATCCACTTGTCTCTAATACATTATTACACAGACTGGGGTACAACATGACTTCAACAATGTCTCAATAATTTAGTAATAAAAAGAAAAAGTAGAAATAATGAAGAAAAGATCATAAATAAATATTAAAAAGAAAACATCTCATTAAAGGGTTCATCCTAATGTTCTTTCAATGAAATGAAATGAAATTATATATATATATATATATATATATATATATATATATATATATATAGTACCTTCTTATAACCACAAATAGAAATACTTATGTCAGGTCCAATTTGTAAATTAGTATACCAAGGTGTGGGCCTAATCTGTTTATTCTCAAAGTACATGAGTTCTGTCACAGCATCATCAAAATTGCACATAGAACCGTTTGTCTGAAATTTTTTCTTTTAGTAATTTTTGTTCAATAACAGTTTATTCAACATACCTCTTTAATTATAAGACTAATCAGTTTTTCTCCCTCTTCTTGATGTGGTAACTTAGGAACTTTTTGTGAGAAAAAACTAGTTTCTAAATCACTTTCATTGCCTGAATTGAATTCTGGTATGACATTGGCACCTCTATTTCAAATAAGAATAATAAATTCAAGTATAAAAGCATAATAATCGCATAAAAGTATAATCATATTTACAGTTTAAGAATAATTACTGTAGCATCTAGTAAGAAAAAAATAATACACTCTGTGTTCAGTTATTATTTTGAGTGGACCAGAATAATTAAAAGTAATTAAGTCATGAATTTTTCATTCATTTTTGTTGATGTGCAATACAATAATTATATCACTTCAATGATTGCAAACCAAGTCTCGAGTTTAATACTAAGGTAGAAGAAATAAATTAAGAAATTAAATAGTAAGTAAAGCCCGAATCACACGAGGCTTGTTTTGTTGCTTTATGGCTCTGCTTGCCAGGTAGCTGGCGGTCGAGAGTCCAAAATGACGTCATAGCGATCTCGCTTTCTTGCCAGCATGCTGGATTTTGACATTAGAACGTGTGCTATTTTTCGAGATGGATTTGCCCGTCCCGACCAATCGGGAAGCAGTATTTTGTCACATGGTTCATCATGTGACGGCACTGCTGTCAAACTTGAAGAAAGAGTACGACATATTTTGGAAATAGTTATGAAATCAATGTCAATTGATCGGCCTCGGACAAAAACATATAGTTTTTAAAATATTATTAATTTAGATAATTTAGATAATTAAAATAATATAAAACGTAAATGATAAATGATATCCAAAAACATTTTCTATTTTATTTAAGTATAAATATTTTTTTATATTTTTTTATATATAGAAGCATTTTGATTTTAATTTATTTTAATTATTTCATTTATTGGAGAAATATTATTGAATATTATATTTCTAAAATTCACAAAAAAATATTAAAATTAATTAATATTCAAAATTAAAATATATATTTATAAAGTTTACTAAAACAATAATTAATTTTTACAATATTATTTATTATTGTATTGATTTTATTTATT